TTATAAAACTCGAGGATCATTTTATAAAACTCGAGAAGCCGTTTTATAAAACTCGAAGATCGTTTTATAAAAATCGAGGATCGTTTTATAAAACTCGAGAAGCCATTTTATAAAACTCGAAGATCGTTTTATGAAACTCGAAGATCTTTTTATAAAACTCGAGAAGCCATTTTATAAAACTCGAAGATCGTTTTATGAAACTCGAAGATCTTTTTATAAAACTCGAGAAGCCGTTTTATAAAACTCGAAGATCGTTTTATAAAACTCGAGGATCATTTTATAAAACTCGAGAAGCCGNAGAAGCCGTTTTATAAAACTCGAAGATCGTTTTATAAAACTCGAGGATCATTTTATAAAACTCGAGAAGCCGTTTTATAAAACTCGAAGATCGTTTTATAAAACTCGAGGATCGTTTTATAAAACTCGAGAAGCCGTTTTATAAAACTCGAGAAGCTGTTTTATAAAACTCGAAGATCGTTTTATAAAACTCGAGAAGCTGTTTTATAAAACTCGAAGATCGTTTTATAAAACTCGAAGATCTTTTTATAAAACTCGAGAAGCCGTTTTATAAAACTCGAAGATCGTTTTATAAAACTTGAGAAGCCGTTTTATAAAACTCGAAGATCGTTTTATAAAACTCGAAGAATCGTTTTATAAAACTCGAGAATCGTTTTATAAAACTCGAAGAATCGTTTTATAAAACTCGAAGAATCGTTTTACGAATCCGCAAAAAACCGAAACAGCCGTAAAACGCGAACTAGTCACGACTAGTTCGCCCACTGGCGAACTAGGAGGCACTCTACTAGTTCGCCCATCGGCGAACTAAGCCGGGCCGGCTTAGTTCGCCGATGGGCGAACTAGTCCCGTCCCGGCTAGATCGCCATTGAGCGAACTAAGAGGTGCTGACTTTGCCCCACTGGTTCTTTTCGCCTAGTTCGCCATATGGCGACCTAGCCAAGCTGAACTAGCTCGCCGTACGTCGAGCCGACCATCCCAAGCCTCGATCTCCCAAATCCTTGATTCAAGGCATACGTCCTTCGACATGATCGTATTCCGAATCACGGTCGAAATGTCTCCCGTTTCGTCTCGATCCGTCCTATCGTTCGAGTTTTACGATAAAAACCGTAAAACTCCGTTTTCCCAAAAAGAACTCGAAGAAATCGTATAAAACGGTAACGGTTAATCAAAACACCGAACGTCGCCTAAACTATACGATTTATCCGAGATTCTTCGTTAAGATTATAAAAAACGCGTTTTTAATAAAAAACATCGAGAGAATCGTAAAAAACGGCATCGGATCAGGAAATGGTCTCGTTAAAGTCGTAAAACGGTTTTTATCGTAAAACGGCCCGAAAGGTCCTAAAACATGATAAAAACTCATCTCGCGACGTTAACGAAATCAAACCCAAAGATATGATAACGCTTTGACGGTCTACTCGCAGACGGAAGATAAAAGGAAAGTTTGAAGATAAATAGAAGATTTCCGCAGAAGAAAATGAAGGATCGACATATATGGAAAGTTCCCGAAATATTCGGTTTCGAGCAAAATGGAAAGACTAAAACCGCCTAAGGAGGAGTATATAAGAGGAGGCATAGGGCAGAAGCTGAGGGACGAGTTTTCAGAGCTTTCACCACCAAACTTAGCATTTAGGCAATTTTCCGTTTTCGTTATCGAGCTGCGTCTCAACTAGGGTTTTAGTCTTTGATTGCTAGAACTAGGAATTTTGCCGACGGGTCACGCAGCTAAGGCAACTCTCGTTGTAACTGTTCTTACGCGAATTCGGAATAAGAATCCTTCTTGCTTTCAATCTCGTTTTTATTTTTATATCTTTCAATTTATTCATATTAATCGCGTTCTTGGTTACTTGTCGTTGGCTTTCGAAGAGATCCAGTTCCTCTGGAAAATTAGGGTTTTCCTAACTTTCCTTATTTTACGGAAATCGACAGGTGTGAATTTCGGTTCCCACACTCACGGCTGTCAACCGCAGCTCTGAAAGCAGTGCATCATTGCTAACAAAACTCTGGTTGACATAGATACCGTTATCATTCGATCTTCCTCCTTCAATAGCATTTGTATCATTGTAATCTTTAAAAACCACATCATCATCTTCTTCCTCATCCTCATCTCTAATCTTTCCATAAACATTATAATCCTCACCATTCTCATCCGCTTCAGCAACATTAGAGCAAACGGAGATTTCAGCATCCTCCTCCTTATCATCCTCCTCCCCATCATGATTTTCATCTTCAACCAACTCATTATCACCTTCATCTTCAAAACGTTCATCAGCTTCATCATCTTCAAACCATTCATCAGCTTCTTCCCTTTCCTCTGAAACCGTTTCCACCTTGCTACGGCTGGATACACAAAGACATACGAGTATCTCGAGCAAGTTACGAACTTGTCTTTCACTTGTAACATGAATGGGAGGGGTGTCTGGAGCCATCATCATATCTGCTGGTAATGAGTATCTAATCTCCACAGTGACTGTGCTCATGTCCAGGTTATAATCTTCTTGTGCCATTGCAACAAGTTCAGCATGTGTTGAATCTTCATTCAATAAAAACAGTTTTGCTCCTTTGAGATCATCAACCACAAAATCCCAACGGCAATCTTTCAACAACCATTCTCTATACACTGCATGTAACTGACGAATCATCAGCAAAAATTCAAAATAAAACACATTAGTAAACATAGAGAATTTCATGAAAGTTTACTAAACATTGACGCAGACGACATACCAGTAAGTCGTCTGGACGACTTACCCGTAAGTCGTCCAATGAGGTCATTTTTGCAAATGAAATTTAAATGGGACGACTTAATTCTAAGTCGTCCAGCTTTGTTTGTTAAAAAAAAACACCAGACGACTTATAATTAAGTCGTCTAGATAAACCGGACTACTTTTGCATTTGACCGAATTGTGTCAAATATTTGACTTTTTCTGGATGACTTACAATTAAGTCGTCTCTGGGAAAGTTAAAATATCAATATTTTATTAAATCTAGACGACTTACGGATAAGACGTCTCAGGTTAGTTTTGCAATTCAAAAATAAAACATAAATTTTTAATTTCTCCCAGACGACTTAATTGAAAGTTTTCCGATCGGACGACTTTCAGTTAAGTCATCTGGGAGAAGTTAAAAATTTAATTTTTATTTTTGAATTGCAAAACTAACCTAAGAACACTTATCCGTAAGTCGTCTAGATTAAATAAAATATTGAAATTTTAACTTTCCCATATACGACTTAATTGTCAGTCGTCCAGAAAAAGTTAAATATCTGACACAATTCAGTCAAATGCAAAAGTAGCCCGTTTAACCTGGACGACTTAATTATAAGTATTCTGGTGTTTTTTTTCTTAACAAACAAATCTGGAAGACTTAGAAGTAAGTCATCCGTTTGACCAGAAGACTTATCCGTAGGTCTTCTACATCGAGATGACTTACGGGTAAGTCTTCTACGCTAACAGATCTGGAAAAAAAAAATTCAATTTCATACCTTAAACTAGGTGAGATGACTTTCTTTGCACACAGAGTCTTCTCCAATCACCCAGAACATCAAACGAAAGTGACCCACCAAGAATTGTATGCTTAAATGGCTCTATCAACCATAAAAATTTTGCTATCAAGCTTGAGTTTTTGGTATGAATATGGAGACAAAGTGAAGGAGATGTCGTTTTTAGTTCATAACAATTGAGAAAGAGAGTATGGGTATCGATTTTAAGTGCATTAAAAGCTTCAAACCTTGGTTGTACAAGGTTGTTGGGAGTATTCATGGCAATGGAAATGTTGTAAATACTTGAAGATGATGAGGTTGAGAGAGTAAAAATGCCATTTTCGAAAAAGATTACAAAAAAAATTTAATGGTATTTTGCGTAAATAAAATGAAGATGTGGGGTGAATAGGACAAAAAAAAGATGAGTCAAAAGAAGAAGTTAGTTTTGTGTTTGACTTTGAGTTTTGAGTCAATTTTGCAAAAACCCCTTCAAAATAATATAGTTTTAAAAATATAAGAAATTCTAAAGATAATCTTTGATCGAACATGTAAAATTATACTATAATATCGTGTAAAATCAAAGATATTAAAAATATTATATAAACAAATTACTTATCCAATAGATTAAACAATCAAATGCAAGATACTTTCAAAATGAGATGATTAAGCTATCATATTATTATATTTGATATTTCCATGTAGCAAATAATCCAAAAAGAGTAATGATTGATTGACATGGATAAACTCAATAAACATGCGAAATTTTTATCTTAAAATCTAGATAACATGACCAAAACGTCAAATAATTAGGTCTTGAAAAAGAACATATTTTAACCAAATTTATACAAGATAGTTTTGGAAGATGAGATAAATGTCAATCATATCACAAGTACATATCGGAATTGTCAAAACAAAATCACATACAAAATCTATATCTAAAAATCTTGATAACATGACCAAAATGTCAAATCATTCGGTTTTGGAAATAACATCTTTGAACCAACTTTATAAAAGAATTGTTTTGGAAGATGACTTATATGTCAATCATATCACAAGTACATTTCGGAACTGTCAAAACAAAATAATAAACATAGATACTAAAAATAAGATTAATAAATAAGAAAAAGATATTAAAAATCGAATAGTTGTTTAATTAAGAGAAAAGATATATTCAGTATCTAATCAATAAACTTCTAAAAAACAGCAGAATCTATACTATTAAACCTAATAATACTAAAGATAACTAAAACCATTATTTCTAAACAAACATAATCCTAAAATGCCTAAAATATGAGTAAATCAAGAAATAAATAAACAAATAAGAGTAGATACTAAACATATAAATTTTAGAAATATTAAGCACTAATTAAAAAGTTTTCAAATATAACAAAACCAGTTGTAAACAACCCGGTACATAGAGTTCAAATTTAAAAAAAAAAATAGATCAAACATAAACATAAAAAGTTAAGATTAAGATTGAGATTGGTTAGATGTTCAGTCAAACATCATTGGCTCATCCAACTTTAACCAATCGGTGGTAGGGACCTTAACATCTTGAAGCTTGGATTCGGCAAGGACCAGCTCGAACTCTGTCTTCTTTTTCACATGGTACATTGAAAACAGACCTTCTCATTCTTCGAGGAACTCCAGTTTCGCAGGAATGCAAACCTTATTGAGCTCCTCCTGATGCCTTGATTCAATGGCTTTGTTCTGATCATGGTACATCAAGAGCATAGCTCAAACCTGCCCCTCTCGTAAGCCTCCTTCAACGTTTCCTCCTCATCCTCGTTCATCTGAGTTTTCATCTTTAGATCCTTATTACTTGCCACTGAGATACTTCTCAATGTTCAAGAATCAAAATATAAGTTTTATGGAAATACAATAAACCCTAAATATTATTATGTAGATGTAAAATCTAACATAAATTCACATAAAATATATATTAACCCCACAATATCTTCTATAGTTAGATCCTCTAAATTTAACACGATTTATAAAATATTCAGAGAATCGAAAAATAAAACAGTAACTGAAAATCAAACCCTAGCATAATTTTATTCAATAAAATATGAACAAAGAACCTAACGACAGTGTACTCCAACCATAGATCCTAAATAGACTAAGCAAGAACAAATCTAACAACAGAACAACATGCTATGGAGATGGAGAGATGTTATCGATTGTCTACAAAGAAAGAAAGTATTGTTTTCCGAAGAGAGAAATGAAGATGAAGAGATATTATGGTTATTGTAGACAATCGATAGAGGTTTATATAGATAAGAATTAAACTTATACATTAGTGGGTCTAAAGGCTTAACATAATTAGGTAATATTTCTAATAGCCCAAAAGATATTCGAAATTATGGAGTCCAATATAATTTTGGGGCTTATATTAATACCAAAAATTTGCATCTATTTTTCAAAATGCATTAGATAAAAATTATTATGATTCGATTAAATACATGATTCTGTTCATTATGTGATTTTCTGTAGGTAGTGGAAGAATGATTTGGTAGTTAAAATGTAAATTTGGCTGCACAGTATCATTTTCGGTTGCATAATATAATATAGATTCTTCAAAATGTCATAATATATAATGAAAATTTAACTAAATGCATTTTAAATTAGATAGTATATAAAAATAAAAACAACGTTCTTGAAAAAATCAGAGATTATGGAAGATCTCTTTATAAATTGTTTGTCTTTGAGGCTTCCCTTCATCGTCCACAATCAAAATCTTCAACCCCTTTTTGGATATAACTCTTGAAATAGTCACATATAATTGGCCATGAGAAAAAACAGGCATTGGTAGGTAAATGTCCACTTCTGATAGAGATTGCCCCTTACTCTTATCGATTGTAATGGCAAACGCCACAGAAATAAGAAGTTGCATCCTCCTCATCTTGAAATGTAATTTCTTGCCAGAAGGGATAATAGCAAGCCTAGGAATAAGAACAACTCGACCAACCTTATCCATATCGTCTGTAATAATGATAGACCATGATTTTGACCCACTTTTGGTCATATTTTCTATATGTTTTTATTATATTTATCTATGTTTTGGAGTCTATTAGGTATGTTTTCAGGTTCAGGAGCATTTTGTGGTAAAGTGATGATTTACGTGCCTTTTGGTGCTTAAAGAAGAGTTTTCCAAGATGACTACGAAGATCCGATATAAGAGATATATATCGATCGATACACACCCTGTGTAATCGATCGATACACACCCTGTGTAATCGATCGATGACGCTTCCGTAGAAGTTGAAGTCGAGATCCTCCATCGATCGATGTACGCAATGTACCATCGATCGATACAGAGCGTGATGAGCAAAATTTATTTGGGCAACTTGAAGCCCAAGTTCTCACCAAATTACAAGACTGCCCCTGACGAGTTTTTAACCTAATTGTACTCCCTATTTATACCTATGCCTATGAGCCTTAAGAGATGAAGTTTTGAACCAAGTTTTGTATTCTATTCTATTTAGCAATAAAAGCATTTTCTTTTCTTCTCATTCTTTTGCTATGAATCTCTTGGCTATGTCTGAGTAGATTCATATGTTAGATTTGGGGTTCAAATAGTTATAAGGGATTAGCCCCAACTATGGATTGTTGAGTTGTTATATTCATTATCCAAATGAACCCTAATGCTTACTCTAGACTTGCTAGACTTGCTACCTAGAGTATTGATTATGGAGTGACTAATCTAATAGTCATCTTCCTGAAATCATTTGGCTAAACCCAGACTCTATTAAGGCACGATGCGACAACCGGTCTGATAGAAGTTCTCGGGTGAACAAAGTTCGATCCGATCTGATACTTAATATTGATCGATGCTCTTCTAGAGTTATCGATCGACGACAGCTTATATCGATCGACATTGCGATAGCAACATCGATCGATGCAGTCGGCAATCAGATCAATGGACGAGTCTAACTAGCGACAGCTATAGATTTGTCTCAGGATTGAAGTTCACATATATTTGCAAGCAATTCGTTAAGACATCCATAGATTTATAATCCTGATTTTCTGAATAGTAACCTTGAATCTAACTATTTTCCTTCATTGTTTTCAAAACCCAAAACCTATTTTCTTTAGCAATTTACCATTGCTACCTATTTTAATTACTGTTTTAAACCTTTTTTAACCTAGCTTAATCACTTAGGATTATATCTTTTGTGTCTCTAGTTCCTTGTGGATTCGATCCCTAAGTACTACGATTGAACCTCTTATTTGAGAGAGTAAAATCACTCCTTAGGGTAATTTGAGTGATATCAAATTTGGCGCCGTTGCCGGAGAACTAAGATCACTATTAGATTTAATCTGATTCAGTCTAGGTTATTTGTTATTTTTTATTTTTCTATCTTTTGACACAAAATCTTTTTCTTTTTCTTTTTGTCTCTTTCAGGTACATGCCCAGCAGTACTAGAAGCAACAAGAACAAGCAGCTTTTGTACTCAGAAGATCCCAACAACCTAGAGCGTAGCATCCGCAAGGACATACGCTCCGCATTGATCGATCCAATACCATTGTATCGACTGATACGCCCTTTCCACCGACGATCAACAACCGTTCGTCAACCGATACCTTCACCACCTCAACAATCGACATCAACAACCGTTCGTCGACCGATACCCTTCACTTGACATCGATCGAAACACCACACCTGACATCAATCGATACTAACCGGCAAGACATGGTAGCGCCTATGATTCTCATACCCGATGAGAATGGAAACCTGCGTGATCAAGATGGTCACCTGCGAAATGCAGAAGGTCAGAAGCTGAATGATCAGAAGGAGATCATTACTGAAGAAGAGACTGCACCTACAGGCATCATTCAACCTGTAGATGAGACCAGAACTTTGGCTGATTACAACCGCCCCGATCAGTTCTATTCAAACCGATCAGCCATCCTACCTCCTGCTATCCAGAGATGAGATTTTGAGCTCAAGCCGCAGTACTACACACTTGTGGGTCAAATCCCTTTTTGTGGTTTGCCCCATGAGCCTCCTATGGACCATTTGGAGAGGTTCGAGGATCTTGTCACCCTAGTCAAAGCAAAAGGAGTCCCTCAAGACTATCTTTTCTGCAAGCTTTTCAAGTACTCTCTATCTGGAGAAGCTTTGCAGTGGCTAAGACAACTACCACCAGGTTCCCTTACCACCTGGAATGATATCAAGCACGCCTTCCTGCGTAATTTCTTTGATNCACGCGCTGAAGACTGGAGGAAGAAGATTGCTACATTCACCCAAGCCCCTGAAGAGTCATTCAAGGATACTTGGAACAGATTCAAGTCCTACCAGCGAGACTGCCCACACCACGGATTCAACCAAGTACAACTGCTCTGCACCTTCTATAGAGGCATCAGCCCCGATTTCAAGAGAGCCCTTGATACAGCTAGCGATGGAAATTTCACCACCAGGAATCCTCAGAATGCTATCAAGCTAATTGACAACTTAGCTTCCAGCAACAGCACAAGAAACTATATGAAGACTACATCCCCTGGGAAGGAGTACGTCAATGAAGTTCAAGCACAGCTAGACAACATTCAGAAGCTCCTAAACAAGCAGATCTGTTCAGTGGAAGATTCAGAAATGGTTGAAGAAGACGTCAACTGGATTAGTGGAGCCGGTTTTCAGAGATCTGGTAACCAAGGAGGATACGAAACTTCACAGGCCAGAGAAGCAACTATAACCAGAATCCCCAGAAGCCCAACACCTTCAGCAGCAGCAACCCTAACAACAACAAAAGCTATGGAAGTGCCTTCTACTCAAATCCACGCCCACCCACCCAAGATACTAAAATGGAGGAATTGATGGACAAGATACTTGAGAGTCAGCAGAAGCTCGAGGTAAACTTCAATGGAAAGATAGATTCTGTCTACACCACTTTCATGACAAAGATAGATGCACTCAACACCCATGTGAAGAAGCTAGAGACCCAGGTGTTGCAGACAGGAGAAGCAGTTAAGAAGCAGGACTTTGCCCACACCCAGAACATCAATGCCCTCCTAGATGATGACTTTTGGCAAGAGGTAGTAGAAGAGATTCAGAGATCTGATGATGAGAGTGAAAGAGAATTCGCCTACGACTACTATCGATCGATATCACCAGCTCAACATCGATCGATATCACCTTTAGTTCGTCGATCGATTGACTTCGACGAGTGTCGATCAATGAACTCTGACGAAAACCCTCGCGAGTGCAATTCCGTCACGATTATGTCTCACGCCGAATTCACCGCACTTCACCCACATCCGCCCAGCCCTGTCATCGATCGACATGATGCCCTCATCATCGATCAACATCCAGACCCTGGCATCGCTCGACACACACCTACCAGTGTCGATCGATATGAAGTACTCCAACGCCGAGTGCCACTACCTAAAATCGATAGTGCAGGTCTTGATGCTTTCCGGGAGCGATATTACACCACCAGAAACCCTACAGCAGCCCTAAAAGAGAGACCCACGGATATTTTTGAGTCTATGGAGATAAAAATGGAAAATATGGGGAGAGTGCTCAGAAAAAGGAAATAGAAGACACGTAAACCATATAAAAGAGAAGCTAATGAGGAGGAGTTGTCAAGCTTCAGAAAAAGAGTCCTGAGAATACCTAAAGAGAAACCTTTTGAAGAAGCCTACTTCTCACATAGATTGTGGATGTTCTTCAGAGAAACCAAGGAGACAGAAAAAGACATCAGGAGGATGTTTAACCAAGTCAGAGATAACCTCAAGCAGAAGATCACACTGAAGAAGAAGAATGATCCAGGGAAGTTCACAATACCTTGCTCCATTAGAGGTGTTG